GACAAGTGAAAACATGTGCTAACAATGTCATGTGGCAGCTTAAAAAGCCAATGGAATGTTGGTCTGCATAAATAGAAATATAGTGTCTAGATCCAGGGAAGTCATGCTACCCTCTACTCTGCCTTAGTCAGACCACACCTGGAATACAGTGTCCAGTTCTGGGCACCGTAATTGAAGGGAGATGTTGACAAACTGAAATGTGTCCAGAGGAGGGTGATTAAAATGATCAAGGGTCTGGAGAACAAGCCCTATGAGGAGCAGCTTAAAGAACTGGACATGTTTATCTTGCAGAAGAGAAGGCTAAGAGGAGATACAATGAGGGCCATGTATAAATATTTGAGGGGAAGTCATGGGGAGGAAGGAGTAGGCTTGTTTTCTGCTGCCCTGGAGGCTAGGACACAGAAGAATGGCTTCAAACCTCTGGAAAGGAGATTAAACCACATTAGGAAGAACTTCCTGACTGAGAGCTGTTCAGCAGTGGAACTCTCTGTCTCAGAGTGTGGTAGAGTGTGTTTAAAAGCCTTAGGGGGCTTTTAAACAGAGGCTGGATGGCCATCTATTGGGGGTGTTTTGAATGTGATTTTCCTGCTTCTTGGCGGGGATGGACTGGATGGCCCATGAGATCTCTTCCAACTCTATGATTCTATGGTTCTTCCCTTTTGGTACTACAAAATGTAGACTTCTGGCTGCTATTGGCATTTCTGTCTTTTCATGTCTTTTTCTGAATGCTTTCCCTATCTTTTTACCTTAAATGAATTACAAAATTTCACTGTTATAACACTACACATTTTTAAGTTGTTGTTTTAATCATGTGATGTCAAAGATGTTTATGAAGCAAATCAGATGTTCATCTAATGAAGGTGACAAAAGCTTTTACTACAAACGTCTTTCTATCAGCATCAAAGGTGCTATAAAATCTTTTCGCATGCTGATACAGACTTAGATGGATATGTCTTAGAATATTAAGATGTATTTAAGGAATAATTGGGGAATATTCATTTGGGGCCATTTCTAGATAATTTATATTTATTTTCCAGTTACAAACAATGCCTCAGTAATGATAACAATCATTGTAATTAACTAATTTTATAATATTTACTGAAATAAATTATGTAAGTTAATTTCAACTAAATGTTAGCAGGAGTTTGTTAAATAGCATTTCCAAGCTCTGTTCAGAACACAGATACTGTATGAACTACATAGAAATGCATCAGTTATGTAATGACACATTATTTGTTATGTGTTTTTTGTTTATAGGCAAAACAGAAAGATCTGGTTATTATGGTGGCAGATCGTTGGAGCATCCAAGTATGGATGTACAGCTGGTGCATTACGATTTTGCTATAGGCTTTATTTGTTTATCAAGCTTTTGCCAGTTTTGTATCATTTGAACCGTATCTCTTTTATATTTCAAGGACACATGGAAATCATGGAAGTAACTGTGCTTTGTTCATATTTGTTTTCTCTTTCCATACTCATATCTATGAATAGTAAGCTACCATACACTATAAATAAACACATTCCACTAGTGTTGTATGATGGCATATTGTATGATGGACATCACGGACGTAATTGTGCTTTGTTCAAATGTGTTTTCTCTTTCCATACTCATATCTATGAATAGAAAGCTACCATACACTAGAAATAAACAAATTCCACTAGTGTTGTATGATGGCATATTGTATCATGTGATTAAATATCAAAAACAAATTCATTTTCAGCATACAGTTATTATGGAAGACAATTGTTGTATTATAGTATTAGTACAGGGTTAACATTTGAAATCCTGAAATCCGAAATACTCCAAAATCCAAAACTGTCCACATAGATAGCTGGGATAGTGACACCTTTGCTTTCTAATGGTTCCTTGTACATAAATTATTTTTTAAATGTTGCATAAAATTACCTTGGGCTCTTTATACTACATACTATACTAAATTAATTCGGTGTTTAGACTTGGGTTTTATTGCCAAGATTTGTCTTTTTTTACATATATGCAAACATGGGAATTCCTAAACCCATAATACTGGTTTTTATGCATTTTTGTATATGGGATATTCAATCTTTATTTATTTATTTAAAACATTTATATTCTGCCCTTCTCACCCCGCAGGGGACTCAGGGCAGAGCACAACATATATAGAGCAAACATTCAATGCCGGGACATAAAACCATAAACATATACAAACAGTAAAATCACTTATATTGACTTTAAAATCATTTGCTTAAAAATCTTTGATAGTAGACACATGATGAAATAACATTTTTATTATTTTATATACTATGAGGCTATATATTTTGATATGGATGCAATTAGATAAAACAGAAAGCAGTCACCAGAAACAAACCTTTCATAGTAACAGAAAGACACAATTTTGAGTCATTTTGAGGTAGCATTATGTATGTCCAAGTAACAATCTCCACTTTCCCCAAAGCTAGACTATTAACATACAAAAGGTCATGTTTACGTGGAGTTATTAAACATGGCTCTTTGTTACACTCCCAAACATTGTCTGCCACCTACACATAAATGTGTATCAACTTTAGTAAAAACAATAATCTCAATACCTCCATATCTCCATGCATTTTAAGAAAAATGTTCACATATTGTACAGAAGTGCTTTGTGGAATGTTTATAGAAACACAAAATATCCATCTTGTGAAATGACAAGGCCACAGCTGCATCAGTCATTCAAATGCTTGCCTTTGTCAGCCCAAGGCTACCTTTCTGCAATAATGAACTATCTGAGTAGTTTCTTTCACACAAATGACATTACCTGAGATTCTCTTTAAAACAACTTAATTGTAGAAGCTCTCTGGAAAAGAATAACCAAACTGAGTTGAAGACTTTAAGAGTTGTTTTCAGTGACAAGTTTTTTGTATATTTTTGTTCACCATAAACTAGGAATGCAAGAATTGCTTTTTATGTCACAGAATTTATTTAGAAATTAAAACTGAGAGACTTCATACCATTAAGCTGCATCTCATAACCACAGCTAGCAAAGCCAAAACATCAACAAAGGCACCCATTCTTTTATAATCTTGATTAAAATCCAAATCACAGTAGCTGGTTACATCAAAAGCTTAGATATATAAGGTAAATTCTTCCCTTCACATTAAATCTAGTTGTGTCCGACTCTGGCAGGTGGTGCTCATCTCCATGTCTAAGCTGGAGAGCCGGCATTGTCCACAGACACCTCCAAGGTCTTGTGGTCTGCATGACTGCATGGAGTGTTGTTACCTTCCCGCAGAAGTGGTACTTATTGATCTACTTACGTTTGCATGTTTTTGAACTGCTAAGCTGGGCCTAACAGCGGGAGCTCACTCTGCTCCCTAGATTTAAACCACCAACCTTTTGGTCAGCAAGTTCAGCAGCTCAGTGGTTTAACCCGCTGCACCACCAGGGAGCCCAATATATCTGCATAATAATATCTGAAGTCCTGGGTCAACCAAATGTCAAATCTACCAAGAGCATGATACTGTTCATCCACAAAGAACAAATATATCTATGCACCCTGACACAGGTTTCTAACACCTTCACTGTTTCAATAATTTTCTGGTTTTTGAAAAAGCAAAGATGACATGGCAAAAGTTAAATTTGGGCACCAAAATGATCTAGGTTCTCGCCTAATTTTCAAAAGATGCAACACCCATAAACCAATATAGGGTCCTTCTTGATTAATGCCATTGAGCCATATGCTGTTTTTCACTCTCGGTCTCTGAATGTGCTATCAAACCACACAGCATTTCTTGCAATACAGGACAGGTAAGAGACTAACAACGTTTTACCAGAGTTCATCTTGTGAAGTGAAACAAGCCACTTAGTTTCATTTTCATTCCTGTCAAAAAGGATCTCCAATTGACTGTCAAAAGACTCTCTACAGTGGAAATTGCATCTATTTTTCTTCTTGAATACTAGAACCAACTGTGCAAGAACCACCAATGACTGATTACTAAGAGTCATTCACATTTCCCAGTTATAGTGCTATGAATCCCTTTCTCCAATTTAACATTTACTGTGATCTCTAGCAAAGCTCTAATGACTCACCAAACTGCAAACTCCAGTATCCCAAAGGATGCCATCATTGCCATTAAAGTGGAATCATAGTGCTATAACTGTATATTGTGAAAGATCTAAAATTCTGAGGCCATTTGGAGCAGCTCAGAAATATTTCAAAATTCAGAGTTAATTTCTGAAGAACTGAGCTGAAGTACAGGTGTAATGTCAATATTTATGGCAATCCAGAGCCTGACTGCAATGAACTTGGAAAACTAAGTGCAGAGTTTGGCAAATAATCAAACTCATATGCATAATTACATATCCAGAAACAGGTACAGGATGCTCAAATACTTATTCTTCTGAAGGAGATATAAGTGACTTGTCTGCAAATGACAACCTCATTCCCCATACTTCTGAGGGACACACTGTTCCACTGAAAGCACAGGAAGCAATCTTCCTTATTAATCTAATAAATTCCCTAAGCATCATGAAAGCAAACCTCAATTAGATGAATGTATTTATTTCAAGCATTTTACATCTCATTTCAGCACTAAATTAGTAGACAGCATGTCCAGTAAATCAAAATATTCCATTCCTTCTGATAAAATAGTTTTCAAAAAAATTAATTCAACGATTCAACCATATCATTCCACATATAGTGTTAATAATAATTACACAGTAAAACACTTTGGGAAGTTCAAATACCATTTTGATAGCAAGGAATGAAGCACTCCAACAAGGTCAGCACAAAGTTAGCAGTATTGCTTACTACAAGAGATTTTTGGCACAGATACAGAAACATCAGGAAACTGAATGCTTTGACATCAAATGTGCTAGATAACTCCAAGACTCAGATTATCAGGTAGCAATGGAAATTAGCTGCGCAAAAACAATCTACAACGGAGCAATAATCACATGCCTGCAGGCATATTTAGACCACAGTTTGTAAAATGTTACATATTTTATAAAATAAAACTAATTGAAAAGGGGGATTTTTTACCTTCTTTTGATCTTCTAGCTTGTGGCTGAGTGGATTTCTCCCATGCCTGTTCATTTCTGAAGGTAAATCCATCACATCTGTTCCTTGTCTCTCAAAATGGAATGAGTACTCCACAACAGCAAACTAATCCACAGGGTACTGTCGGCTGACACAGAGACACGCTGATATTTCCATCACACACCTTTGTGAAAATTCACTGACCCCAAGGAATGAATTAAAATTCCATGGACTGTGTAGATGAAACAAATTTCATGATGCTCACTTGGGACTTTCTGAATCAACATATCGTTCTTAAAAGCCAATACATCCAAAGAGAAATGATCACTCAATCCTTGAGCGCCAACTGCTATCTGTTCCTTTCTATACACATTTCCATTTTTGAATGTTACATCCTTTTGGTAAATCTGTTGAAAAAGAAAAAGAAATTATAACTGGTTGCTTGTATTTTGCATTTTAGTCTTCCAATTGTTTCCCCATTATGCATAGACAACGCTGATTAACTGGTTTAAGAGGAAAACTTATTGATACAAAATATATGTCAGTTCTCACCCATAATTGGCTACAGTTGACAATACTTTGTACATATTGATAGTTTTTCCCCAGTTGAAAAACATACATTTTGCACTACTATTAATGGCATTCAAAAGTGTAATACATACAGTAGACACTACTGCACAAAATCATCTGGTTACAGATATGACAATAATAATAATAATCTTTATTTCTAAACTGCCCTCTCTTTCCAAAGGGACTCAGGGTAGTTCACACCCACAAAAAGGCAAGCATTCAATGCCTCAGTTGAGCACAAAAATATCAAAATAATACAAAATAAAGCAACAGTAATAACAGTGACTTTACAATTAAGAATTAGGCATTGTGATAAGCAATAAAACAAAACAATCCAATAAAACATAGTTAACTAAAACATAAGTAAACATTACAACAAATACCATAAAGGCAATTTAAAATACAGTTACACTGGCTGGTGCCGGTGTTCATTTGAAATGTAACGTGGCAGCCATATAGTACAAGTGGAACTAGCCAGCATTCCAAGTAATTAAAGTATCTTAGTCCTTCTCCTCATCATACAATAAAGAGCATAGGTGCGATTTTAGAAGTTTCTTAAATGAGAGGAGGATGGTGGCCATTTTACTTCTTCAAAGAGGGAGTTCCAGAGACAGTGAGGGATCATGAAGAAAGCCCCCTCTCTCATCCCCACCAAATGGGTTCGTGATGAAGGTGGGACCGAAAGGAAAGCCTCCTCCATTGACCTCAGTTCATGGGATTGTCTGTATAGGGAGATGCGATTAGACAAATAGCCTGGACCCGAACCATTTAAGGCTTTATAGGTAATGACCAGAAGTTTGTATTTAGCTTGGAAGCGGTCCAGCAGTCAGTGGAGCTGCCGCAGCATGGGAGTTGTCCTCTCACAATATAGCGCTCCAGTTAGCAACTTAATAAGCAGCTAGAATATACCTGATAGTCATGAGAATCAATTGCATTATGTAACAAAATTGAAATCAATCTGTTTCTTGTTTGAAAGTGTTATTCCTGTTTAATTGTACAGAACTTCTTTGAAGGTAGTTATACACCAGAAACTTTGTTATAGGGCCGCAAACTATGTTGAATTGGTTGAGACTCAATGAAATATTCATTAAAAAAACTGTAGCAAAATGTGTTGCAGAATGTCCCACATAAACAATCTTTCTACAGTTTAATCAATTTTCCATGTTTTTATGATAGAACCAATTAGGAAATGACATTTATAACCCAGGAATAAAAATCGTGCTACACTGTGTTATCTGAATCTTCTTCAAATAAAAGAGATATGCAGAGAAAGTGCATGATCTATGGACAAAACAACACACAGTGGGAGTAGTTCCATATTAAACTCAGATGTACCCTCTCTATTAATAAATATTATGTTTGATGATGATGATCCATGTATATTAAATTCCTGACTATTTTTTATTACACCACATGAAATGATTGAATGGATTTCACCAAATGTAGACAAATATTTTTGGCATAGTCTGACTGACTATATAAGGTCTAATATGAATTCCATATCTAGGCTATGTGGCATACAAGAAACTCATGTAGGTCCTGGAAAGCACTCTAAGAGTTTTTCATTGATGGAACAATGTGAAATATTTTGATGGAACAATGTGAAAAATGTTTACACATAATATTACAGATAATGTAAGTTTCTGCTTTTTTGTTTGCATATTTCTACATCACATGCAAACTAAAGAATGGATTTCTATCAAGCGTGAATGTTTGGGATGATCTGGCTGAACATATCGGCTATATGACATACACGAAATTCGTTTCCCAAATAAATAAACACTGATCCTCCAGAGTAGCTGAAATAGAATACTAATTAATTATATTTAGGAGATCCTCAATCACTTGGTACTACAACTAGTCACATATAAACTAGATAAAGGTTTTAGAACAAAGGGAAGAGTAAATTACTCTTCCACACCTTTTGGATTCTTCTTCCCAGACTCCTTTGATGATTAACTGAACTCTAGTACTAACACTAAGATCACTCCAGAGACCCACATTTGGGGAGAGGCTGTGAGAAGGAAATACCCTTCATGGGATTGCCACCATTAGTTGCTAATTTGTCTCCAGGCAAACATGATAGAACGATCAAAGCCCAAATTAGAACAGAATTACTAAACTTACTTTAGTAAAGGATGATAAACTGAGAGTAAAATATGTAACAAAACTAAAAACAGCCCCAATGGGTGAAGATTATTTTGAAGAATGAACAAAGTTATTACATGGTTGAATTGATTACTGAAAATGTCAATTTTATCTGTACATAATTAAATAATAATGGAGATTAAAAAGTAGCCTTAATGCTAATTTTGAAAATATGGCATTACCTCATGGAAAAGCATGGGAATACTGAGCTAAATTTAATTCTTAGTCTTAGACAGAGTAGACACCTTGAATCAGTGGAATGTATGTAAGTGTAACTGAAGAACTCAGATTAATTCAAAAGTCTTCTCTCTAACAACAATTAGCAGTGGAACTCTCTGCCCTGGAGTGTGATGGAGGCTCCTTCTTTGGAGGCTTTTAAGCAGAGGCTGGATGACCATCTGTCAGGGGTGCTTTGAATGCAATTCTCCTTCTTCTTGGCAGGGGGTTGAACTGGATGGCCCATGAGGTCTCTTTCAACTCTATAATTCTATGATTCTGATTAGATTACTCAATAAAGCAGTTTGTCAATATGGACTTCATTCAGTTATCTTTGGATCATTCCTTTCTACCAAGATGAAATAGCTGTGTTCTTTAAAATCACACAGATCTGTAGGTACTACCTACTCACACCCATGCTAAAATTCTGCTTTTTTTCCTAAGGAAGATTCAGCAAGGCTGGTTACATTTTGCATTTCTGTAACGATTCAGTAATATTTATGTCACTTCATCATCACATGTATAAGTATATTATCTTGTCTAATCAACAAAGAACTGCAACCAATACATTTGCAAGCAAAATGACAGAATACTTCTATGTTAGCATTTCACTTGAGAAGAGTCCTGTTTTGGAGATATATTTTGTGAGAGAGGCTCAATAGTTACACACCATTTCTTAGGGGAAGTCCATTACCATTTATTCTCTACCAAGAGGTGGACGCTCTACCGATTCATAAACTCTCAAGAATGATTAATCATTGGCACACAGATTGTTATTTCCCCACAAAGCATTCTCAGACATTTATCCCTGGCTGGAATTGGCTTGGATTCTGGCTCTGGCCCTGTCAAATGAATACACCCTATATTTTCTCCCTGTCTCATTTTCAAGTTAATAGTAACTTCTGTGTACAGATTGAGATGCCATGCACAGAAGCCCAACCTTCAGCTATTTATCATTTTATTTCAATCTTGGAAAGGCTGCCAGACAAGTCTGCCCTTCCTTTTATCTCCTCCATCATTCAATTTGTGGTCACTGAGCAGAAGAGAAAGAAAATATATCCAGGGTGTATTTAAGACAGGTAGTCAATAGCAATGTACTTTATTCCTGCTTTTCATCACAATTTTCCTAAGGTTTTTTTTAATGTGAAAGACGGATGCATCTAAAGCATTATTCCTGCCCCATGGTTTCAGAGTGCATCTGAACTGTACAATTAATACAGTTTAACACCACTGTGACTCAGTGCTGTAGAACGTGTGGTTTGTAGTTCTCTCTGCCAGAGAAGTCTAAACAATTACAACTCCAATGATTCCACAGAACTGAGCCATGGTAATTAAAGTCATGCTGAACTGCATTAATTCTAAAGTTTAGATCTACCCTACATCTGAGTACCACTATTTAAAACAAACCAGGTTAGAGGCCAAAGTTAAATTTCCAGAAGACGTGGTTTAGGCCACATCCTCCTGCTATTGGAATCTATGAGTAATATTTTAAACAAACGTATAAACAAACAACAGTAAAAACAACAGAAGCCCATACTTTACAATCCACTGCATTCCCAAAGAGGAATGTGGGGGGGAAAGAAACATGAAAATGGCATGCATGGGTCCATGTGTAAGTTGTACTGTAGTCAGAAACATGCATAAACATATGAAAATTTAACTTATGGCTGCTGGACTAATCTATCAACTATCTGAAAGACAAAGCCCTCATCTATACTGGCCAGTTAATTTGGGGCACCCACAATGACAAAGAACTTTCATGGAGCTCTGCCAACATCTACTAGTTGCAACAGCAGTAACAAAGGCTCGATAATGCCAGATGTCGAGCGCAGGGAAAAAAGGATGAGCACAGGGAAAAGGAAATGGATACAGTGCCCATGTGGAAAATGGATTGGTCCAATAAAACCCAGTTCTGCTATCCACATTGCACCGACGTCAAGGGTTTGTTCCAGAGTACCAGGTAAATTATGTGCATTCTCAACACAGTATGGATATTGAGTATTGGAACATCATGGGGATAGTGGGAATTGAATAACTAGTAAGTAGGGGTTATTAGGCCTGTATAGATAAGATCCGAGTTCAACATTATTATTTGTATGTCCATTTCACTGATCTGCTTAATTGCCAACTACAGGGTCTGACTGGCAACCTCATCACAAAGGCTGTCAGAATCATCATGCCACGCCCCATATCACCAGACTCACCGGAGTCCACATCCCATAAGGGAAGCCACGACTGCCCAACTTTCCCCCATTGCTTCTGGTGCAACACAGGAAACATTCTAAGATGCCTTCACAATGGCATGTGTTGGTTTCTCAAGAGTTTTTCAACAGAGCATGCGGGAAGTGCTTCTGCATTGTGGGATTGGAGCCAGTGGACTCTGTCATAAAACTATTGAGGAACTGGCACATGCCACTGAAAACAACCCAATAGGATGAGGTCTCAAGTAATCAAAATTTAATCCAATCACATC